ACCTACTTTGGTTGAACTATGCGGCTGCGTCCCTGCTTCTGACAAATAGGTGTGCGATTTGACATGCCAGATTGACTGAAAATTCTAAATATTGGTCATGTTGGTAGGATTGGGTAGGCGTGGTGTTACTTGTCGGTACGTGGGTTGGGGGGGGCCATGAGTGCTCAGTGCCCAGGGGCCCCTGGAGGTACTAATCCGGCCTTGGTTAATTGTGTGAGTGTGTGTGTGTGTGTGTGTGTGTGTGTGTGTGTGTGTGTGTGTGTGTGTGTGTGTGTGTGTGTGTGTGTGTGTGTGTGTGTGTGCGTGCGTGTGTGTGTGCGTGCGTGTGTGTGTGTTTATCAGTGTGTGGGCGGACGTTGGTGTGTTTGTGCGTTAGACTTTAACCGGCAGCTTTCATCACCGATGTTTTTATCGTGAGATATGTTAACGTTGCTTAATCCTTCTATTAACCCATTTATTCCACGAGATAATTAAACACTAGAAGATGTTAATAAGAGTAATACTGTTCGTACAATAAATTGAGGTACAATAAAACATGTGTGCTGCAAAAATATTTTATTTCACAGTTTTTGTAATAAATCATTATTTTACTTGATTTAACTATTTAAGATTGAATATTTTATTATGATATAAGTAATAAAAAAACAATAATCTTAAAACTGTTTCTACGGTGGCCTGCAGGGACAAACGTGCTGCATCGGTCAAGATCACTTCCATCACTAGAAACACACTGCAGCTTCAGAAACCATACAGATATAAAACATTTTTAAATAATATTTAATACACAAATAAAGAACTAAACGTTATTAAGATGTTTTGTAATAGCTTCAGTGGTTCTCTGTTCTCTCTCACTGTGCTTTATATATTTTTAAACATTAAGTGGGCCAGTTGGAGTTGGATCACAGTTCAATAACACTGAGTACACAGACTTTGGACCGGCTCGGGCTCGGGGTCTCTGGAGCTCGGTATATAAACCGTTCAGCCGTCTCCTCGATCAGTGTCTTCACAGATACCAGAGGGTGCCTTTGGTTTTTTGATTTGCGTCTCAGGATGAAAGTCTTAAAGGGAGCGCTGCTGCTGCTGCTGCTAGCTGTTGCTAACTCAAAGCCAGACCACCATCACGATCACCAACACAATCACACGGATGAAAAGACTGCGGACCCCGATCAATGCCAGGTCCTACAGATGCTCGCCGAAGACAACCTGCAGCAGGTGAGACCCATCATTTATTTTACGGTGTCTCACAGGTAAAGGAAAACAAATATGTTTGAAGATGAGAAGAAGTAAAATCCTATTTTAGACAAAACTAAAGTGGTCCGAGTACAGATCCCTGTGGGAGGCCTTTTTTTAGACAACTTTTTTCTTTGGTCAATTTTATTTTTTTATTTTATTAGTCAACATTTCAACAACTCATTCTAGTCAGTCAGAAGGAGTCATGTGATCACATTGTTAAAATAAGACCATAAAACATTTGAGCTATGTTGAATATTCCCTGCTGGTCTACAGGTTTTGGGGGACTGGGTTCTGGTCTGGGCGGTGTCGGACCACCAAGAGGGTCAGGACATCCTGAAGAACCTCAGCAGCTCCCGAGTAGAGATGAGACTTCAGGAGGACAATCAGACCCTGATGTTCACCAAGAGGAACCTCTTCAGGTCAGAATAACACATATAAATACAAATAAATACAAATGTGGAAATATGAAGAGAAGGAAATTATAGATTCAATATGTAAATGGAACAATTTAGAAATATATAATGATAATAAATCACAGAAAAGTCAATGTGAAATATTAGTATAAAATATATATAGAAAATTATAATTTGAATAATAATAATTTGTTAATAGAAACGTATGAATATAAAAAGCAATTTTAACAATGAATACGTTCATTAAATGACTGAAAAATATAATTGAAATAAAATAACAAAATAAATAATGAATGTACGTATAAATAAAACTGGAAATAAAAAAAAAAGTAATAATGTATATATTTATTGTAGTTCTCGGGTGTGTATGTTGTGTATTTCTAACTGGTGTGTGTTTTAGTGACAACAAGTTCCTCAACTACCACATCAACATATCCATGGAGCTCCTGCACAACCCCAACCAAACAATGCACCCCATCGAAGGCAGTGAGTCACACACACACCACAAGTACATTTTGTTTATTTTAGAAAGATAAAACTGTGTGTGTGTGTGTGTGTGTGTGTGTGTGTGTGTGTGTGTGTGTGTGTGTGTGTGTGTGTGTGTGTGTGTGTGTGTGTGTGTGTGTGTGTGTGTGTGTGTGTGTGTGTGTGTGTGTGTGTGTGTGTGTGTCAGAGATGTTGGCTGTAAAACAGTGTTTATTTACCGCTGCAGAAGAAGAGGCTCTGAGTGAGAGAACTGGGTCAGCAGCTCAGAAACAATTATTCACACAGGATGTTTGAGAGCGGCGGCAGCAACACACACAGTACTCAAATACTCAGAGCAGTTCAGACATGAAGGATTACTGAACGGACTGCCTTCACCTCCAACACATTGCATAAAGAGACCTGTGAGAACCTGCAAGCAGCCTCAGAGTGACACTCTTCAGACTTCAGTAACGCACAGTTCGACTAGGTTCCTGTTTATCGTAGCACAGTTCTTTGTATTTGTTTTGAAGAGAAGATGTCCCTTTCTCCCGATGTTTCCACATCAGACGCATGCCTCTTGCAACTTGTCGTGCAACAGTTTTATATTTCTCTTTGCATTTGTTTTGGTTTGTGTTTTTATATCTGCAGCGTTTCTCCTGATGGAAGAGTTTGCACGTGTTTTCCATATCATCAGCTTTACGTGTATAAAGACTCTTCGTGCACTGTTTCTAATGTATTTATATTTACTTGCACATCTCAGAACATTCTCTTGCACTATTTTATCTGTTTTTATGTCCTATATATATTCATGTTGTTCTGTTGGAGGAGGACTTCAGTGTTTCATCTCCATATCTCCTGTAGCTGCTGAGCACATGATGATAGACTTGAATATTGAATCTTGAATCGACAATGAACCTATAATTCATTATAAGACACATCTTTATTGCTTTAGTGCATCAGAAAGCATTATGCATGTTAATAAATGTAGTATTATAACTCTTAATATTTCACTTTAGATGTTGTTACGTTGCAGAAAAGAGACTTGAATTTGTCCTCACTTCTCAGACCTTCATTTCCAACTCTTCTCATTTAAAGTCAGAATCTGAAGCTCGGACAGATTTGCTATCAGCTGGACGTGAGTTTTATTTGGTGGAGAACCTCGGGCCAGGCCATCTGTTAGTACTGGCAGGACCCACGCTGCCTGGCGCTCCTGAACGCAGCGCGGGTCGCTGCTCGGAAAAAATGTTGAAGAGGAAATATTAGTGAAAACAAACAAAGTGCAGCAGAACCATCTTTTATTTTGGAGCGGCACGAGGGATAAATTGGCAGAAAAACTAGTTTCAGAAAGTAACTGATGTCCCTGAATGCAACATGACATAACTTATGTATAACCAATTATATTCAATAAAAAATGTATCATATCAATGTATGACAATGAACAGTCAGGAATAAACCCATTTAAAGAAAACACCTGGTGTGAAATTGAGAATATTTGTTCTTAATTGTACCGATTATTGTTGTTTATTTCACTTTCTGATAGCTTGTATTGTCATCTCATCATAAGTTCTGCCTCTACGAAATAAAAAAGAATAATACATTTAAAATTAATAAACAAAAAAACAAAAAGTATGATTTCAAATTTCCCTGATCCCTGGTTTATGTTAATTATTAATTTTATTATTTGTTGTTGAATTATTTCTAAAGTTACTTCAATACATGGTACTTTATGTACTTTAACTAATGGTACTTTAGTATATACTTTATAACACGGTACTTTGAATGTTAAGGGTTAGGGTTGGATGAGGAGGGGCTTTTAATTTAGGGGGGACTTGGATTGACTTCCTCCAGTATTTAAATTCTGGCTACAGCCCTGCAGACAATATACAAATAAAACCAAAACGACAGCAGCAGCAATAAAACTGTCCGTGCAGTAAAAACCGAGACAGACCTAGGAACAGACGGAAATACAGACAGACAGAAATACAGACAGACAGACTGTAGTTTCACTGCTGATGCGTGAAATGAAGCAGCTGATGTAGAGCAGGCTGTGGGGGAGGGGTCCATCAGGATCCAGAGGGAGGGGGACTACTTTCTGCTGCTGACTAACAACAACTTTTACTGCTTAATCCTCTCTGTAGCCAGGCGGCGTGTAAATGGATGTGGATAAAAATAAACCTTTTTTATTTCCTATTTTGACATGTTTATAATGTTCTACTCTTTTCATTTTCACATTACGTACAATGACTTGTTTTAATATGCTGATGTAACGTGGAGAAAATTCCATTTTGGCATCAATGAAGTACATTTTAAGTGTGTTATAAACAACATGGAGTACGGAGGGACAAAAAGGTACAAAAGCGTCGAGATAAAAGCTGCTGTCCATGGTGCTACTCTGTTACATTAATCAGAAATGCTTACTATACATCTCTACTCGTGAGAAACACTCATAAATACCCTTTTAGCTTCATATTTGTGGTTACAACTGCGGTGAAGTTGTCCGCTGTCAACGATAAATTTAACTGCCATCTTCATCAACTCTCCGATCACATACTCCTCCGACGCCCTCTTCTCATTGGTCGCCACAGCTGCCGTTCAAGTTGCACAACTCCCGATTGGCTCACTCTTCCCGCCCACAAGAGGCTTCGACGAATGCCAGCGCGTGTTGTGTCCAAAAGGGGCGGGAGGAGGTGGCGGGGGTCAGGCTGACAGACATGGGGGGAAGAGAGACTGATTTCTGGGAACAAACTGCCATATTTTCGGCCTCTTTGTGCTTGAAGAGCCAGGAGTAAATACAAGATGTGGAAGAAGGCCTTTTGTTTACAGACATAGCGTTATATTATCTAACCCCCCACCTTCTCTATGTCTCGTTTTAGTTAGTTGTGATGCTGCTGCCATGTTTGTTAGTGATGGAGATATACTATACTAAATACTTTATTTATCCAAAGTTGGGACATTACTTTGACAGTCAATCTATAAGAATGACTTAACCAGACTTTTGACCAGTAAATAAGACCTATATTCAGGGTAGTATCCATCTAAACATCATAACATATACAATATATACTAATCTGCTGAACATATAGTGTACTATATACATTACAAATAGTGTACAGTAGCTTGAAATTAAGAGAAAGGTCTAACTATGGATCTTTATTTACAACTAAGTTACTCATAAAGTGGATATGATAATTATCATAAGTTATATAGAAAGTCCCTCACCTTAATGTAAATGAAGTGAGTAAAGTGAAGGTCAAAAAATAACATAGGACATTTGTATTTAATGACATTTTATAGACATTGCCAAAAAAGTAAGTACCTGTAACATCACACGATTTATTTTTAAAAGTGAAATATAATTACATATTGCGTTTGTTTATTAATGTTTTTATTTCTTAGACAGTTTTTTATTCATTGAATTTCTTGCAGTATGTGTTTATTAATAACTATTTATTTTGGTTATTATTATGTTATTTATTATAATCTTTCTGTTCATTTAGTCGTATTTTTTTTTATGCTGTAGATTTCTCTTTCTGTTGTGTTTTATTGCATTTTTTTCTTTACTCCTTATTTTATATTTACTATTTATTCAATAATTAATACGTGTATTATTTATTTATTATCACAAACACTCCTTGAAGTAGTTGTGTAGCTCCCCCCCGGCCCGGCTCACTGCGCGTGCGCCTCACGTTCCATCCGGGTACTTCTCTTCAGAATTACCATTGACAGCCGAAGCGCAACTTTTCCTCAGGCAAAGTGAAATAAATCCGCGGACTCTGACAAAAAAGTAGTCCTACCGTTTTTCAACTTAAAATTAGCGAAAGAAAAGCGAACCGGTTTCCCCGTCGGACCCCTCGACGTCCGGTTGTTTATCTGCTCAGAACCGGGCCGGTACCGGAGCTCTTTACTCGGGTTTGGAGCACTTTTGAAGACGGGGCGGAAAGTGTGTGATGAGTCCCTAGCCGTGCAAAAAAAAAGAAGAAGCGAGAACTTGCTTTTTGCAGCCTGAGTAGTTCTCCTTCTTTCAATTGTTACTGAAAATCTTTTTAATTCACTTAAACTTTGCACCGGCCGCGTCGAAAGTGGAATAAAAGTGTTTTTCTGGAAACAGCATGGAAGTACAGGGCCTGCATGAGGCGCTGAAAGTAGAAATCCAATGTCATCAGGTAAGTGAAACATCGTGTTTATTCTAAGGGAGCAAGTGTGTGTGTGTGTGTTAAATTCTGCACTGGGAGATAACTGCACAAAATCCACATTGAGACCACTAACAAGTCTCAATTAAGTGCACTTCTCGCGATACTTTTTAAGCTTATTGTCACGGTGTATTTTCGCCTAAGCAACAATATTTTTTGGAATGATAATAATGCGGTGGTGGTGGTGATCTGGACGCGACCTGCATATTTATGAGGTGCACAGAGGCTTCTATCGTCAGGAAGTTCGCCTGTAGAGTGAAGCAGCTTTTTATGAATGACCGTAGCGGCCAAACGGTAGCACTGCACCCTCCGTGACGTCATTTTGGCCCAAAAAGACTTTTTCCCATTGACTTTACATGGGGCAAAGAAACGTCCGTAGATGAACGTGTCATTTTTTAAAAGCTAAATGAACTACCCAGCACGAACTATTTTAAAGCCCTCCTTGCAATTATCAGAGTGTTAAAGTTTAAAAAAATGGGCTTGTGTTGTTTATTTAGTTACTTTTACCTCTCTATTCATCTGACTGACAGAGAGCAGGAGATAGGAGGCGGGGCTTACGGGGAAAGTACACTGCGCATGCTTAGTGGGCCCACATACGGGTACTTTTGCTTCTTTTTTGGGCTTCAAGCGCCATTGAGCTTCTCCCATAGAAATGAATGGAGCCCCGCCTCCAGTTTTCTTTAAAAATCCATGATTTCTCCCCCGCTTTGTTCCTCCCTTTTACTCTAAACTTGAGACACTTTTCCTCCACACATCCTCCATCCTTCTTACTAAACTAGTTGCACAGATGAAGCAAGACCCACAGGTAATAAAATAAATATATATTTTAATCCAGGCAGCTTTCTTCGAGTGGATTACAAGGGAGGGAGTGAAACTTTATCAGTAATTAATCTGTTGTTTTTTAACCATCGCTGTGCGTGTGTTATCATCTGTATTTCTCTGTAGGATGGAGAGCTTAAGAGACAGCTGCACGACAGGAGAATAACAGCACTGAGTGATAAACAAGTAAGCTTTCTTTTTTTAATGCCTTTTCTTCTGTTAAACTAGCCCAAAACAAACATGGAGGCTTGTATAAAGTGCTCCCTCCTCCTCCTATTCCCTGCTTTTCTCCACTGTGTTGCTCAGTAACCTCTGCTGCTTGTCTCCGAGACGAATGCTGAAAGTTGTGTAAAAATGTTAGCGTCCATTTTGTCGACATGTTTGTGGAGAGTAAAAAAGAAAAGAAGCCGATGAAGGAGCTCCAAGTGTCCGGAGTTTTTCCCGGGGACACATTTATGGAAGTTTATTCGGTTAAAACGACCGTGTGTGTTATTATTTAGTCGCTTTTTAACGTCTTTTGTTCGGTTTTGTTACTTTATTCTAGGGTTATTTCTTACCGGGTCACGTGATCACAGCGGTGCGTTTGATTCGTGTACTTTCACTTTTTTTCACGGTTTACTATCTTTTTTCACGGTGACTTTGAGGGGGTTTTAAGCAGGTTATCAGTAGCTGTGGGTGGATGCTGAGAGAGAGCGAGGCCGGGAGCTGAGCTTCAGCACCCCGGCTAGCTCCTCTCCTCTCCGGATGCTTCGGGTCCCGCTAAGCACCGCCCCGCCGAGAAGTCCTGGTCCCGTATCCCAGCTCTCTGCTCCGTAGGCCCATTGTTCCGAAGAGCCGAACAGTTCCGAAAGCTCTTCTGATTATTAACCGTTATCCAGAAAACAAAAGCCGAACAGCTCCGAAGGCCTTTCACTTAAAAACAGTCACTTTAGAGGCGGAGTTTAGTGACTGGTGGCCTGACTACTAACCAAACTCCACTAATATAAGGCTCAATTTAACAGATAACTTGTATATTCTGAGGTAAATAATAACTTAAGTCATAACTTTTGGATTTATATGACTACTAAAAGGAATAATCTTCATTTCGGCTGATATTTAACTCAAATATCTAATTTAGGAACTTTGTTAAATACGTACTGAAGAGTTTAGTAACAGCTGGCTTTACTACCAACCAGACTCCCTTAAGATTAAGCTCAATTTAACATTTAATTTATAAATTATAAGGGACTTCATTACTTAAATCATAATTTTTGA